TATATATATATAATCCTTTAATTTTCTCTCTATTCACTTAATCGTTATCTTTTATAATTGTTATCTAATTTTTTAAATTTTAACATATTGCACAGAAAATAACTTTCTTGTTATTTAAAATGAAAAAAAATAATAATTAAGATTGATATTAATTCTCAAAAGAGTATTCGTGATAAATATTTTTGTTAAATATCTTATAATTTTTCTTTCAAATAAAGTAAATCTAGATATTCTAGGCTCTAAAGCTAAAATTTTTTTAGAATGAAGTACTATATAAAAATAATGAAGAGCTTAATATTTTAATTTAAAATAATAATAAAAATAAAGATGATTATTATAATAAAATTAAATATTTTAATAATAAAAATTAACATATCCATATTGAACAATATAGTCAATATAATTTATTAGACAATCTAATAACATGAAATAAATATAGAAGTGATTTAATTATAATATAAATTAATGGTACTAAATGAGTATGTCTATTGTGAATAGACTTAAAAATACTATTGATATCCTAATAATTTTATAATAAAAAATTAAAAAATGATTTTATAATAAAAAATAATTATTAAAAAATAATAAATAATTTTATAATAATTTTCTTCAGTGCGACTCTGACCACAGTCAAATACACGACTATCCAGGGCTCATTTTTTAAAAGAGACACTAATTTTTTTTTTAATTTACAGTACAAAAATAATTTATATAATGAAGGGGAAAAACTAGATAACCATAATTATTATGACATGAATTCTATTAAATCTTTAAAAATATAATAACAAGATTGGAACGAAAATCATAAATGTAAATTTGAAGAAGAAACTTTTGGGTTTTCCAACAAGGTATTATCGGAGACATAAATTGTAAATTCAGAGAATTCGCACAGAATCTTCAAGACTTTTCAGTAGGATTAGTTCGTTCCCTTAGTATCAAAACTTTGATGAAAATAGATATAAGTAATCATTTAAGATTCAGTTGTAAATTTTACTAAATTTTCATAATAATTTTCTTTTTTAACATAGTTTTTTATGCAAATTATATTTGGAGTTATACAATTCGAATTAGGCAAACATGGTATTCCTAAAAAGATAAGAGGGAGATCTATAACTTTTATGTTGGGAGAAAAACCCAATTTGGATGTTTTCAAGCCCTAAATAGCGCAGCTCATGGCCTTGCACTTGAAATTGTTTAGTTGTAGTTAATTAGGTTCTAAGAGTATAATTAGTGGGCTGGACTCTTAGTTTAGGTCCTACTTTGGCTTTAAATTCATGTAATGACTCTTTGCATAAAACTTTTACTTTTACTTTTACTCAAGAAGTTTCTCTCATTTTCTCTCAACTCTCTTCTCTTCTCTCTCATGAAATTTCTCTTCTCTCTCACGAGATTTCTCTCTTCTTTACTTAAATTGGCTGAAGCAACATGATTGTGAGGCAAGGCTAATCCATCAATCGATTTAGGGTTTCAAGAACCACGGTAAATTTGAATTCCTAATTTTTATCGAGCGAATTCTCTCTTCTTCTTCTCTTTTCTATTTAGGATAGTTTCATTTTTTCATGATATTGAATTTTTGTTTTGAATCTTAAACATAAATGAGAATATGCAATTTCATATTTAAAATAACCTAAATCAACTTAATTTAATTCAATTTACAGCTCTTGAATTTTCTTGGAACCTTGAGTTTGCGATTGCAGTTCTTATTTTAATGGAATTAATAATATAGATTTAGATTTCTATATTAATTAATTTCGAATTGAATTAGGTTGGTTGAGAATTCGTATTTGTTGTGAACAATAAAAATTTCATAATAAGAATTGAAACCTTAAACCGATATTTAATAATATTAAAATTTTGTGTTGAGATTCTATCTTCTGTTTTCTATATTGTTGTTTACAATTTGATTGAAATAAAATTCTCCCAAACCTGAGAGATAACTTAGATTAGTTCTATATATTACAAAATTTTTGAGAAATCTAATTTCATTTCATAATGACTCGGCAACGTTATCACGGTTCATTAGGTTTGGTTCGATCCCTTAGTTTCAAAACTTTGATGCAAATGGATATAAGTAAAGTTCTTGTAAAATACAATGAATAAAACTTGATATATTTTTGCTACGTTGCGATCAAATAAATAAAGGAAGTTTAATGGAACAAGTTTTCCATCATAAGTCGGTCAACTAAAAATTAAAATTATATCTTAAAATTGAAAATATTACTATTTCATAAAATTCATAACAATGAAATAAAACTTGTTACCATTGTCCTTAATGATACACTACATCATCCTTAATGATATACTGTATAGCCCAAATGTTTAGCGATTGAAGTTATTAATCCTCATTAACAATATTACTAAATCTAGTGTTTGAAATGCTTTGTATTTTTCCTTAAAAAAATGTTTTGTATTTTGGTTTTTTTTGCACGAAATTCTGGACCAGAACGGCCCGTTCTGAAACCAGAACGTCCCGTTCTGAAACCAGAACGGCCCGTTCTGGTTATACTGTTGATTTGTTAATTTTGGATCTGGAACGGCCCGTTCCAGGTGAAAATTTTACACACCAATAATGTAACCAGAACGGGCCATTCTAGTTTCAGAACGGGTCGTTCTGGTTCTAGGTGTATTCAAGTATTTTTGGATCCACCTACGTGGCATTTACGTGGCATCCACCTGGCATCCACGTGACCACCAATTAACTCCGTTTAAATCATTTAGACGGAAGTCCCAAATTGGAACGATTTAAATTATTGGAAACCAAATTGAGACCAAAAATTAAAGTGAAACTAAGTTGAAACAAAAAAATATTGTAAGGAACAAAAAGAGGTATTTAACCTAAAAACTTTGATGGGAGACGGAGTTAACGCGTTAAACTTCACTCACGTTTACGGTAACAATCAAAAGTTAACGGATAAAAGATAATAAAATGTGGACTTTGATAAATATTAATTTATCAAAAAATAGAGACTCGGTGGTCGGTTACAATAAATCCACAATAGATATACTCTTTGAAACGTTAAAACTTAAAAGTGTTAAAGCAAAAATTGATTAAATAAAATATTTAATTTAAAATTTAAATTATAAGATAATTTCTCAACACCTAGGCATCCCTATTTTACACAAGCGCATTTTTAGGAATTCTTTTAGATTCATATTAAGGAAGGTGAATCAAAGACTTTCTTCCTGAAAGACTCGCCATCTCTCTTTTGCTAGAAGGCTCACTTTAGTGAAGCTCTTCCGACTCATGTTATGCAGTCCACAAAGATTCCAATTTCTGTATCAGAGGAGGTTGACGAGAAGTGTAGGGGCTTTCATGGGGTGACTTTGACAATCAACGGAAGATTCATACCATTGGCTGGTCAAATATCTGCACACCCCAGTTGGATGGTGGATTGGGCCCGAGACTTTCTAGAGACAGTAATTGTGCTTTTATGATGAAGTGTGTACTAGGAGGGATGATCATTGGATTCGTACTGTTCGCAGTAAATATCAATGTGGGGACTCCATATGTTCATGGATCGATTTTTTTAAAAATTTAAATCGAACTAAATTGATCCGTTTTATAAAAGTGGATCAGTTAACTGATTTATTTTTTATAAAATGGATGGGTTTAATTTTTTTAAAATATAGATTAATTTTTTTAAAAAATTGAATCGGTTTGGTGCAGTGCAGTTATCCATTTTTTACTTATATATGGATTGGCTTTTCTTAAAAAAACCAAACCGAACCGATTCACTTTGTAAAAATGGATCAGATAACTGAACTGGTTTTATAAAGTAGTTCGGTTCATATTTTTTTCAAAATGGATCAAATTTATTAAATTTTCTTGTAAAAAAAATTTATTAAGTTTTGTAAAAAAAAATATTTACAAAACTTTTTTACGAATTTTCTTGCAAAAAAAATATTCGCAGAAATTTTTTACGAATTTTCTTGCAAAAAATAATTTACAGATATTTCTTACAAATTTTGTTACAATTTTAATAATCATGAAAAAAAAATTTCCATGGTAAAAATTTACAGAAAATATTGTAAGAATTTTATTTTGTTTCTTGCTGATTTTCTTGCAAAAATAAATTTGCAAGTAATGTTTACTAAATAGTAAAAAAATTTTACAGGTAACATTTCCTGCGGATTCCTGCAAATTTTAATTCGCAGGAAAAATAAAAAATATATTTAAATTCATAAATTTAATATTTTAAAAAATCTTCAAGTCTCACATCGATTGAAAATAAAACAATTAAAGAGTATATAAGTTGGAGTAACACTTATCTTAAAAGTTGAATTGTATGGTTGAGTATTAGACTTATAATTTATAATCTTAGAATTCAAAAGATTATGTATGAGGCATGAAAATAAAAGATTATGAATTCTAAAAATATAGAATTTATAGTAAATTTTTAAAAAATTTCTTGTGAAAAAATTCGCAGGAAGTTTCCTGCGAATTTTTTTTTTGTAAGAAAATTTCCTGCAAATTTTTTTTTGCAGGAAACTTTCCTGCGAATTTTTATCGCAAGAAATTTTGCAGGAAAATTTCCTACAAATTTTAAAATTCGCAAAAATATATTATCCACGAAGGTATTACCTGCAAATAAAATTTCGTAAAAAAATTTGCATGAACAACATTTCTTGCAAATTTTTATGAAAAATTCGCAGGAAAAATCGCATGTAATAAGAGAAATTCTAGTAGTGGGTCTAAACAAATACATGCTTAGTGAAATAAGCATGTTTAAAAGGGAAAAGAGTACTCTGTAATTTTCATGTCCTATACTTGTACATTCTACTTTGGTTCTCTGGGTGATAATTTGACATCCTTCATTTTCTTTCACATTTCAGGAAACAAGATGCAATGATTGAAGAAATTATTAAAAAGATAAAAGATATATTGGGTAATAAATTTTCTTGTCTTCCAAAAGATAATCTAGTTGGAATGGAATCTCGTGTTGAAACATTATCAAGGATATTGTGTTTAGAATTGGTTAACGATGTTCGAGTTGTCGGAATTAGTGGAATGGGTGGGATAGGAAAGACAACTCTTGCTCATTCTTTATATGAAAGAATCTCTGAGCAATATAATTTTTGTTGTTTTATTGATGTAAGCAACATTTATCAAGCTTATGGTACTATAGGTGTACAAAAGCAATTGCTTTCTCAATGTCTTAAAGAAAAGAATCTTGAGATTTCCAATGCTTCTGAGGGAACGTGTTTAGTATGGGAAAGGTTATTAGGTGCAAGGGCTCTTATTATTCTTGATAATGTTGATCAAGATAGGCAACTAAATATGTTTACAGGGAATAGGGAGACTTTATTACGTGAATGCCTAGGTAGGGGGAGTAGAATTATCATAATTTCTAGGGATAATCTTATATTGAGGAAACATGGAGTAGATGATGTTTATCAAGTCCAGCCACTGAATCACGAAGATGCTATTCAGTTGTTTTACAAATATGCTTTCAAAGGTAATCATATTATGAGTGGTTATGAGGAGTTGACATATGATATACTATTACATGTTCAAGGCCATCCTTTGGCAATTGAAATATTGGGCTCATCTTTATGTAATAGAAATATCCCAGAATGGAGAAGTGTATTGGCTAGGCTAAAAGAAATTAAAAGTGAAAAAATTATGAATGTCCTACGAATAAGTTTTGATGACTTGGATAACCTTGAAAAGGAGCTATTTTTAGATATTGCTTGCTTCTTCAATTTTTCTATCAAGAAAGAAGTGATGGAGATTCTAAATCAACGTGGTTTTCATCCTGAATGTGGTCTACAAGTTCTTGCTAGCAAATCGCTCATAACCATTGATGAGTATGAGGGTATTCATATGCACAGCTTGTTGGTAGACTTGGGAAAGTGTATTGTTCGAGAAAAATTCCCTAAAGAGCCAAGAAAGTGGAGTAGGTTGTGGGATTATCAAGATTTGCACAAAGTTATGTCAGACAATATGGTAAAATATTATTTGAGATTTTAAAATTTCGGGTTGTCATTTTTATACAATGTGTAAATGCTCTAGAAAAAATCTAACATTTTCTTCCCATTTTACATTATTAGGAATCTGAAAATATTGAGGCCATAGTTTCATACCCTGATTTTTTGGATGAAATAACAATACGTGTTGATGCTCTATCAAAAATGAGACATCTTAAGTTGCTCATGCTTCATACTCTGAATTTTTGGGGAAGCCTCAATCATCTGTCCAATGAGTTAGTACATCTTGAATGGAAAAAATATCCTTTTAAGAGTTTGCCTCAAAGCTTTCAACCAGAGAACCTTGTTGAGTTGTCTCTATGTGAGAGCAACATGAAACAACTGTGGAAAAAGAGAAAGGTACTGTAAATTGTTATATTCTAGATTTTTGTATTTTGTATTTCATTCAATTAAAAAATAAAAATACAAGCCCTCTTATGTTATTTACTTTTTGTCATATTAACTAAACAAAACAAAAAAAAAACCTGAATGTTATTATTAACTTTGTTGCCTACTATTGTCCCTTCACTGCAGCCTCTACCCAAATTACAACGTTTGGATCTCTCCTATTCCAAAAACGTAATGAAGATACCAGATCTTGGAGATGCTCTAGATCTTAGGTGTCTAATTTTGAGAGGATGTAAAAAACTCAGGCAGCTTCATCCATCCATTGGTCTTCTAAGAGAGCTGACTCTTTTGGATTTGGAAGAATGTACAAGTCTTATCAAGTTACCACATTTCAAAGAGAACCTAAGTCTTGAAACTCTAAATCTTCGAGGATGTATAAAACTGAAGGAGATCAAGCCATCTATTGGTCATCTACAAAAGCTTACGTTTTTAGATTTGCGTGAGTGTGAAAATCTAGTAAGCTTATCCAGCAACATATTGCGTCTAAATTCTCTAGAATACCTGAATCATTCCTGGTGTCCAAAATTATTTAGTCTTAAAGCAAGAGATGAAGAGAAAATGATGAAGCCTTGTATAGGTGAATCTCCTATTTGTTCCCACTCAAAATCGTCCATCGTGAAAAGGTGGTTTCATCCTAGAGCAAATAAAGATTCAGTTAGCTGCATGTTGCCTTCCTCGCCTACTCTTACTCATATGCGTGAACTTTATCTGAAGTCATGCAATTTAGTTCAAATCCCTGATGTTATTGGAAGTTTATGTTTCTTAGAAATTCTAAATTTAATGGGAAATGATTTTGCCACACTTCCGAGCCTCAAGGAGCTTTCGAAACTGTACAATTTAAATTTAAGGGATTGTAGGCGGTTGGAAAATTTGCCTGAGCTCCCTTCACAAACTGACTTGTCACCAGAAAGATACCTGATCCCAGAGTCTATAACAACGTCTCGTTTAAGAATAAATGACCCATCAGTATTTTTGAGAAATAACAACTTCAAGAAAGCAGGATTAAATATTTATTGTTGTCCAAAATTGGTTGAGTTGAAATGCTGCCGTAGCAAGGCTCTTTCATGGACGATACAAATTCTTAAGGTGTGTTCACTATTTCCTTTCTCTCTTTTTCTTTGTCTGTGGTACTAGGAACCAGGAACTAACTCTTAGCTATGTCTGTGGTACTAGGCCTACTACCAATACAAATGTCTGTGGTTCGATGATACTGTGTGTTCTCCAAACATTTCAAGTATTATTGGAGGAAGTGAAATACCTGGTTGGTTCAACAATCAGCACGTAGGCATGGGTAAATTCATAACCTTAGATGAAGCACCCCTTATGCAGCATGACAATGGTTGTATTGCTCTTGCTTGTTGTGTAGTATTTGCACATTCTTCTGGAAGAATGCCTCCTCCCAAAACAGAATTTATTTGTGGTTATACTGCTGTGATTCCGTTGGTTTCGGGTGAAGAACGTCAAGTCACGGAAGATCACTTGTGGTTGTTCTATTATTCTAATCCACCACGGGATATCACAGACAGGAAATTGGAAATTCAAATAACGAGCTATTGGCCTATTGAGGTGAAAAAATATGGGTATCGTTGGGTATATGAGAAGGACAACTTTTTGGCAATTGAAGAAAACATGTAGCAACTTCATTTCAGCTACGCTTTCACATATAGAAGGATTGGTGGCATAATTGAATATGGTTGCATAGCAGAATTCAAATTCACAATGACTTTAGGGATATATTGTCCAACCCTCTCTTTGCAAGCTGCACAAATGTTAAAGGTAGTGTTACTTGTTTGATTGTAAATAGAAGAAATGCTCTTAGTCATCTTTTTCATTATTACTACTTTAAAAATGTAAATAGCTAGTTTGGTCCTTAACTCCCTTTTGGTTTTTTAACTTGTCTTTGTACATTATTTGACCAATTTTACTTGTGACTCTAAGGTGGCAATTAATATTTTCATACAAGTGGTCGTTCACACAACTTGAGACAAATATCAACAGAATGGAGAAAGGGTGCTTCCAAATCCTCATGGAAAAACACAGTCAAGTTTTTGTTTAATCAGTTTCCACATCCTGCATCTATAGGATCCTTCTATTGGTAAGCATATGATTCTAATTTTCTTTTGTTTAATGTGTTTCTAATCCTTTTTATGTTGACATATAATAATATTATGGTATTTTTGTTGGTTTTATTCAAGTTTTATATATATACTTAAAACAAATAGAATCTGTTTCATATTCTGATCCAAATAGTCATTGCCCTGTGCTCTGATATTAGAGGGCTTGACTAGTCTTAAGCATTTTGATTCCTAACAAAAGAATAGGAAAACAAAATGGATTATTTGTTGTAATGTTTTGAAAACTAAATTGAAGATTGAATCTGAAAAATATCTTGAAGCTTGAAGTTGCTATATTTTTGTTTTCTTCTTACATGTTTTATGTGCTTATCACAATTTGAATCCTTTTTCCTGTAGAAGGAAGTGACATTGGCCAACACCCACCTGTTGCAACTTTTTGAAAACCGGATTAAAGACCGAAACAAGAAGACCATGTTTGTTTGATTCAATCTGTTAAATTTATGATTAAATTGTAATTAGGCTTTAGTCAAATTGGATACGTAGCTTGTTCATGGGCCAACCATATTTTATCTTGATTACTATATTGATGGAGTTGCTCCTTTACAAAATGTAATTTCACATAACCCATTTGAACATAAACAAGAGGAGTTAATTATTATATTACATTATTACATTTTTTATATTTTAATTTTTATTGTATTTTATTAAGAATAATTTTAAACTATCCTCAAGCTTATAGATGATTATTAAAGAATCGCTAGGTTTGGCCTAAGGTGGAGGGTTGAGTCACTGTCACTCTCAGTTATGTGTCACTTCCTTTCTGTTAAGAAGTAGCTTCTCTTGTATTCTTCTTAGGAGATAGCTTCTGTTGAAGTCTTGCAACTTATGAAGCTTGTTGTGCACATTTCAGCATCTATATAAATATAGTTGCTCTCTTCATTATAAAATCAGAATTTTATTCTTTCATAAATAATACAGAGTATCGAGTTCCTTCTCAATTTGGTATATATCAAGAGCTTGGATCAATCTCTGATCTATGGCTTCTGGTTTTCCTCCTCCTTCCCCTCCACCTCTATCAGAAACATCATGAAACACCCTCACATTCTCTGACTCTGTCTTGGAAAAACTTGTTTCGGAAAACTACTTGTGTGTTGTCAACAAGTAGAATTTGTGATCAAATTCATAGATGATCTTTTAGGATTTATTTTTATTTTTTATTTTATGATTTATTTCTTTATTAAATTAGGATCTTTGTAATTATAGGTCTATCATATAATGTAAATAGGAAAATCTTCTCCTAAATTTATTTGTATTTATTTCATTGAGTCTATATAAAACACTCTGCTATGTAGCCAAAACACACGGTTTCAGCATATCTTGCATATGTTTTTCCTTCTTTCATTGTTTTTAAGTGAAGTTGCCCTTGCATTTGTTTTTCTCTCTTTCAATAGTTTTTAAGTGAAGGGGACGGAGGTACATGATGTGGGACTTCACTCTCCAGCAAACAATAACTACTGTCAACTCATAAAATAAACTCCATCATTAGAACCGTCAAGAACAACCAAAATAATCTAGTATGTTGTCCTTTAGAATATTTAATGATCTTTCTATTTCTTTTCCCCTTCTCACTTATTTCTCTTTAATAAAATAATTAAAATTTTCACTTTATATTTTACTTATTTTCACTCCCTTTTTATTTCTATATTTCTGACTTATTTATTTCTTTTCTAACAAACACACACTTAAGAATGAATTTAACAATTTTTAATTTTACAAACTAATATGACAATATCTTCTAAATTCAAAAACACATACTTAGGAATGAATTTAACAATTTTTAATTTCAGAAACTAATATGACAATATCTTCTAAATTCAAAGAACAATTTATGTGTTTACTCAAAACCAAAAGAAGCGATGGAAATAATAAAGTTATTATAAATTACCTTTGTTTTGGCACACCAACTATCTTTAATTTCCTTGCTATTGATAGAGTCAATTAAGTGCCTCTGGAGTATATCAAATGGCGAGAAAGGGTGAATGAAAAAATAATATCTATCTATCTATTTATAATTGAGTTACTTTATATTATATTGACACGTTAGCTAAAAATATTTCTAAAATATTATCATGTTAACAAAAATGTTTACGTGTCATTTTATATATTGTCTCTTTTATTTTAATATATATCTCTATAACCACAAATTCTATATCTTCATATTTACAAATCGATATATTTGTATGAGAGTTTCCCCCACTAAAATTTTACTTTTTTCTTATTATTATAATATATATATATATATAAATTATATGTTAATTTATTAAAAATAATTATTAAGTAATGACACACATCTTATAGAGACATAATACTTGTCATTAAAAATTATTTTTTCAAATATTATAGATGCAATATATGTTGATATATTGTTAAAAAATATAAATTTAGACTACAGTGACACTTTTTGTATGTAACATGTGTAACATTTTTTATAATAATTATTTTTTATATTTTATACGTTAAAATATATTAATATTTCATTTATATTTTATTCTATTGTGTAATTTCTTTCACTTTATAATAAAATTATCTTTATTTTTTTATTATTATAATATATTTTATTTTTTGATTGAAATATTTATTATTTCTTTATTCATTAAAGATGTCATAGTTTAGTTTACAAATATAGGTTTTTTTCAATTTTTATTTTAGTTTTAAACCTTTTTGATCTTGTATATGTACATCGTGTGTTGGTAGGAGATGATCCAAATTGAGAGTAATGAGAGTAATTATCACGCAAAGTTTTATTTTTTTTACTTAAAAATATTTAATAAAAAATAAATTTACTCTTATAAAAAAAATAAACGTTGCTCTCATAAATATATTTTTGTTTTAAATGAACATAGAAATTTAGAAGAGATACAAAAAAAATAGTAATTATATTATCTTTATCTTAATAATTTATACCATTTTGTTCGTCTAATATTAAATAAGGCATTAAAAATTACAGAGTCACAGTTAAATATAATATTAGACACAAAAAATAAATTGTTACTCTATTTATGAGAAAATTTTAATTTATAAAAAAATAGGCATATTAAATTTTTTTATCACAAAAATATATTTTTCTAAAAAGATTATTATATTTTTTAATAAAAAATATTGTATTGCCCTCACTTAAAAAGTTTTCTAAATCCGTCACTGCTACAATATGTAATATTATCTTTTATTATAAGTTTTTGTTCTCTAATTTTTTTCTACTTTTATTTTACAATTTAATTTAGAAAAAATCATCAAATTTTATACACAAAATATGTAATAGAGTTTGAATTTAATAATTTTAATGAATGTGCAGAACAATATTATATTATAAAAATTGTGTAATTTTTATCTTTTTAGCTAAATTATCCACAAATTGATCTGAAAAAATAATTACACAATTACAAAGTGAGAATTAATATGTATTTTCTATCTTCTAAATTTTATGACATTATTTTTAGCATTTATTATTTTTATATCTATAATTTCAATTATCCTTTGATTCATTTTATAATTAAGTCACATTTCTTGAACTCAAAAAACTAAAATCATAACAAAATTCTATGTATTACCAATCTTTTTCATCTCATTTGTCACAAACATATATAAATATCTTACATGTAATTATTATACATTTGTTAGATATATTTTTTAAAATATAATAATTTAATATAATTCTAATCTCCTTAAAATATGATGTTATATGTTTCTTCATCCGTACGTGTGACACTCTCTACCCCATTATTAATATACAACAAATGTAACAATAAAATTTTTCTTTTCTTCTTTTTGGGTAAATAAAATCTTTCATAGTATAATAACATTTTTCATGTATATAATATATATATATATATAAATTATATGTTAATTTATTAAAAATAATTATTAAGTAATGACACACATCTTATAGAGACATAATACTTGTCATTAAAAATTATTTTTTCAAATATTATAGATGCAATATATGTTGATATATTGTTAAAAAATATAAATTTAGACTACAGTGACACTTTTTGTATGTAACATGTGTAACATTTTTTATAATAATTATTTTTTATATTTTATACGTTAAAATATATTAATATTTCATTTATATTTTATTCTATTGTGTAATTTCTTTCACTTTATAATAAAATTATCTTTATTTTTTTATTATTATAATATATTTTATTTTTTGATTGAAATATTTATCACTTCTTTATTCATTAAAGATGTCATAGTTTAGTTTACAAATATAGGTTTTTTTCAATTTTTATTTTAGTTTTAAACCTTTTTGATCTTGTATATGTACATCGTGTGTTGGTAGGAGATGATCCAAATTGAGAGTAATGAGAGTAATTATCACGCAAAGTTTTATTTTTTTTACTTAAAAATATTTAATAAAAAATAAATTTACTCTTATAAAAAAAATAAACGTTGCTCTCATAAATATATTTTTGTTTTAAATGAACATAGAAATTTAGAAGAGATACAAAAAAAATAGTAATTATATTATCTTTATCTTAATAATTTATACCATTTTGTTCGTCTAATATTAAATAAGGCATTAAAAATTACAGAGTCACAGTTAAATATAATATTAGACACAAAAAATAAATTGTTACTCTATTTATGAGAAAATTTTAATTTATAAAAAAATAGGCATATTAAAT